AGCAGCAATAAACATGGGGGTGCAGGTATCTTTTTGAATCAGTGTTTTTGTTTAAAAGCCACACTTTTTACCGAAAGCCTGGAAGGGGCTTGTGCAGTGGACCTACAGGGTGATCTTAACGGTAAATAAAGGTGATTATGTTATGACAATAGGCCTGGGTTCTGCTGTCTGTCACTACCAAAAAGCCAATATGCAGAGATAGCATTAAATCAATAAGTGCTTTTGTTTTTCAGAATCACTGCCCATTGATCTGAAACAACACAGGGACCATTCAGCCATCTCCTCTTGAGCTGGCCTTTCCATAATGAGTTAAACAGTAACAGTTAGCCGTGAACAAACAGCACATCAGGACAGATGTTCTTGGAATTCTTCTCTTTCTGCCCGCAGGAATTGTTATCAGTCTGCAGGTTTCCTTGATCCTGTACATCTGAGGGTATCTACATCTTGAACTCATTCAGGCATCATCAGGGCAGGAATTTCAGGTTTAAAGTGAGAGTTTTAGCTTAAAGAAAACAGATTCGTCATACAGTGTGTACGTGCAGCCTGTGCTGTGTGTGCAGATTCCTATACTGGGCATGGTGCACTTCCCGTCCTCCTCAGCCTCTGTCACAATCACTATTATGTATATTTCTCCAGGCTGTTAAACAGGCATAAATACTCTCCTCCATACACACCCTCTTAAAAAGTCCAGTAGTACCAATGGGCTTATAACAGAACTCAGATTCCGGTCCTCCCATCCCCTAAACTACTTGCCCCGACTTGCTCGCTTATCTGCCAGCAGGCTATCTCCCCTGGCACAATGCCAGCTGCAGCCTTGTCAGCATATTATAATGCCTTCGGATTCAGCATAGTATCTTTCTGATCTACCACAGTTGTTAAGATGAAAGGGGATCCTTTTATTATTTTCCCGGGGGAGAGTTTTTTATTTTGTGTTTGATCTTAAAAATACTTTGTTTGTGGGTAGTGCATATTCGGATTGGCTTACTCATCACCCACATTGACTTTCCAACATGTCTTCCCATCCTATTGAGGCAGAAAGCAAAAGCCACACTCCCAGGCTCCCTGGTCAGGCTCGAAGCACAGGGGCAGGGGTCCTCTAGCAGCAAAGAAGGTTCTGGTGTCTAGTTCCTTGGGTCATGGGTGCTACGTGGAAGGCAGGGGAGGTAGTGAGGTTTTTGCCAGAATGAACCTGTGAAGGGATTATTTCTCCAGGCTGTTGTTTCTGATTGTGTAGCATACGAACTTATATCCTGGGATGTTCATAAGCTTCCTAATTCTATATAGTAAATCTGTTTCTGTTTAAATGAGCAAATGAGTTCTATTATTTCCAACTAAGAAACCCTATAGAAGAAATCATTGAACTCTCTGATAAGTCCCCATTATCCAAAAGCAAACCCTCTACATTCCAGTCCCCTGTGATTTTAATGATGGTTAATATTTTAACTGTGCTCTTAGAGGTGATATTTTCATATAAATTGTTGTATTTTTCAAATAACCATATATAATAATTATGTCGGGTAGTATTATAGCTACTTTATATAAGAAACGAAAGCAAAGAACTCTTGAGTACCTTATTCAAGGATTTTAAATGAATCCATTATACTGCGTAGAGTCCACTCCTGGTTTTCCACTATTCTGAACACTTTTCTTTAAATGTGTCCACTGGCTCCCACGTGATTTCAAAGGCAATGCAACACCTCTTACACAAAAGTTACTAGACTTTTAACCATTTTAAATAGACTTTTAGATATTGATTATATAATAAAGCTTGACCAAAAAAGTTTCATGTTTTTGCCCCCAAATTGTTGCTTTTTGACTTCTTTAATCTTGGTGAAACTTTTCTCCATAAAATTATTAAAAATGGCTGCAGAGGCATGCCCTGACACTTACTTTCTGGATTCTCTTGTACCTGAACAGAAAGAAAATCACGAATTATTGTTCTGTGATATGCTTAGACTTCTGTTTGTTCATGAACGAATGAAAAGCATGGTCCAGGTTCCATGTCCTAAACACAGAGCATCAGGGGTAGACATGCTTGTTCCTTACATGGCCTCTGATTTTGTCATGAATTGTAGCAAAACAGTTTGTATCAAAAGCTAATATGATGTTCTGTTGTTCCTTGGGTCAGTCACTGACACAGGAACTCTATTTGCCCTGATAAGCAGGATGTTGGAGGGGGATGTTGGAGGGGACTTCGGGCTACAATGTGCAGCTTGCAGCTTGGTTCACAGTTACAAATGCCAGGCCTCACAGATTAGCATTAGTCAAGCTTGTCTTCCCTTACCTCTTGCCATTTTCCCCCAGGTTTGTCTTCTTGCATTCAAAGGAAAAGGGGGTTCAATAGCTGGTGCCCACCCATCTCTGTGCTGACTCCTTTCCCCTCTCCCTTTTGCAAGCCTTTGCGCATTGCCCTGTTTTTCCCTTTGTATAAATATCCCTGCACCTGCCAAAGAGCGGACGGTGGTCTTTCAGACACGAGTCTCATACCCTCCTCATTTGTCAACAAATGAAGCCACTTTCCTTTGGCTTAGACTCTCTTGCCCTTTACTGACTGAGGGAAACTGAGGCTGGCATTCAATATCACCTGGAATTCCTGGGACTAATGGTCTGTAAGACACTCAAGAGGTGGTGGTGTGGTGCACACAACTCAGGTACTCTGAATATTCTCACAGCTTGTTTAATCCTCACAGATGTTAAGATAGTTGGGCCTTGTAACCAAACTTACCTGAGAGTTGTGCTGCTACATATACTGAGGACAGGATGTCAAGGCCAACTGTCTGATAGGATTGTTGGGAGAGACTACTTTTATTTGCAAACACTCCGTGAAGTGAGGTTTAATAGAAATGTGTTTTCCTTGGCCAGCTTCCTCCTCTAGATCAGCTCCATGGGTGAGCAACACACTGGAGTAGCACTTGGGAAAGTTAAAGTAATAGATATTTCCATAAAGCTATTTGATACCTAAAAGCCAATCCATAAAACTTTCAGGGTTTTTATTCCCCTCCAAAAGACTACATAAAATGTTAGATAGAATTCTCCACTCAGCTCTGCCGCCTTGCTCGGAAGTGTGACCAGGGTGGGGAGGCAGGCTAGGGCTGGCTGGAGGTTGTGCCCCCTCCTGGCCTGGAGGAGTAGATGCCCCACCAGGATCTTGCTGTGGGAGACTGTGTCTCACTTGGTTCCCTCTGCTGCCTTTTCATCCAAATGAACAACCATCACATGAATCAGTTATAGTAAAAATAATGGAAAGGCAGCCCTTTGGAAAAAATTGCTCAGAGGAAGAAGCCACAAGTCACTGTATATTCTGAGGCCTCACAAAGATATAATCACCATAGTTTGGCTTCCACTTAAAAGCAACATTTAGAGTGATCCAAGAAACTACCATGAGACAGTGTTCTGTGGTAATGGAGATCTGGGTGTGGACACCACAAACGTGAAGCATGGAGCCTTGGAAAACTGATTTTCTGACTTCTTCACCATGAGAAATGTCACTAGGAGTGACCCCTGCATCCTGGAGAAGTATATTGCCATCTGTGGGCTTGTCATTAAAATCTGAATGGTAAATAAGTTTTGTTTCTATACAAGTAAAAAACAATAATTACAACATTAGTAGTAACAGTAACTAATATTTATTAAGTGCTTACTATGTGCTAGGCACCACGCTAAAGTACTTTACATACATTATCTCTTTTAATCCTCATAAGAGCTCTGAGGGAAAAGAATGGTTACCTCCATTTTAGAGACAAAAAATCTGGAGCTTAGTGAGGTGAAGGTTCCTGACTGTAGTCACTCCATTTGTCAGAGCGAGCCCAGATCTTGCTGACTCTAGTGCCTGGATACTCAGCAGGAAGCCACGCAAGCCTCTTAACCACCCCCGGGCAATGTAGTTATGGCAGTTGGGGGTGAGTGCCTGGTGACAGTCCTGTGAGAGCTCTCTTGAATCTTGAACCACGTATTCTTACTCTAACAACTAACTGGGAGCCAATCACTGAGAGCTTATTCTTGTGAAGGTAAAGGCAGGCGTAGATCTAGCTATCAGAAGCCTTGCCATCAGGGGTGAGGGAGTCTCTGGACCACTGGGGTTCACATGGGGCTTAGTTCATGGGTGGAGGGTGGTGAGGGGCAAGGAGAATGAGCCCAAAAATACTGCTTCATATATACCAGACCGTGGCATTTTTTGCAGTTTCTATTGCCCATGGATTATTACAACAGATACATTTTTTAAAAGATAAAGCTACATACAGCAATATTAATTAAACATACAGCTCATTGGCTGCATGGAATCCCTTCCCAATAAATTGAGGTGATTCTTGTGATCCGGCAACCTAACCACGGTATCACTATCACGCTCTGGACAACAGCAGGTACTCTGATACAGAAGGGATGCTAATCTTCTAGATGTCACATGATAGCAGCAGCAAGTAAGAAACCAAATCTCTATGGTCTTCATAAATAGGAGGGGGATACAACTGCCTTATGATCTTGAACATTCATTCTGTTGTCAAGATTTGGGGCAGCAGTGCTGACAGACAGCATTCAGAGCTGTAATAAGCGGTGGCAGACCTGGCATCCTGGCCCTCTGCACACCTTGGTTTCTGGGCCAGGCTGTCCATAACTTCATGGCAGGTATTTCAACATGAAAACAGGGAAGGATGAGGCAGACAGCTGAAAGCCTTGGCTTCGTCTCTGGGCTATGGGTGAGAAAGGCAGAGAAAGAAAACAGAGGAAGAAACATAAAGAGCAAATCTGTCTACAGTGTTTTCAACTCCCTTTCGAACCTCACCATAGAAGCACAAGGCGCTTCTTTTGATTTTAGATTTTAAAGGGAACATCAGTCAACTCACTGTCACTTAAAACGGCGCAACTATGCTCAAGTCATTTGGCTGTCTGCCATCGCTCCTTCCCCAGAGGAAGAAGTCTGGCCCAATTCTTCACTCCGGGCAGAGAAGGTGATAACGGAAAAACTTCTTTGGATTCTCCTGGGTTCACCTTCTTCTAGATTACTAATGCAGCATGTTTTCTGTGACAGTGCTGCCTCCGCCACTGATGACAAAGCCCCGGGAACCCGACACAACTCGTGCTGGGGACATCTCGTCAGGGTCCTTCATATCTGGCGGACAGTCCCCACTGACAGGTCCTGGCAGGCCTGGCTCCTGGGGGCTCGGTTCCGAGTCAACCTCCCCACATTGCAGTGGGAGTAGCGCCTGCTGTTTGGTCAAGGCATCGCTGCTTTTCTGGGCTTCCAGGGAGTTCTGCTGGGTGGAATTCCCGTGAGCCATGGCACTCTTCTGAGGCTCGTCAAAGCTCAGTGAGAAGGTGACTGTGCCGCTGCCGAAGATGACCTTCTGCTGGCACCTGGGCTGCCCCTGCGGCTGCAGGCTCAGAGGCTGCTGCGGCTGTGGCTCCTGCTGGGTCAGGGCCAGAGGCTGCTGCTGTTTCTGCCTCTCTGCTGGTGGGAAGGGGTCTTCGCTGTTGCTCTTGCTGCTGATGGAGGAGGAGGGAGTGGACCCCGTGGAGCCTCCCAGGCTGCTGGACCGCTTGCGGGAGGCATTGCTGCGGCGCAGCGTGGCCCGAGCTGCCACCTTGAAGGCGTGAGCTGCGGTGCTGCAGCGCACCTCCTCGATGGTGTTCCGGGATGGCTTGAAGAGAATGATGTAGACCTTGTTGAAGAAGATGCAGGCCAGCAAGCCAAAGCTGGCTGCCAGGATGGCGATCACCTCCACAGCAGAGACAAACTTGCCATAGGTGCTGGCGTAGGCGGGAATGAAGGAGATCCAGACGATGAAGAAGATCAGCATGCTGAAGGTGATGAACTTGGCTTCGTTGAAGTTCTCTGGCAGCTTCCGGGACTTGAAGGCAAAGAAGAAGCAGATGGCAGCCAGCAGGCAGGTGTAGCCGATCAGGAAGCCCAGAGCCATGAGGGAGCCCTCGTGGCACGTGATGAAGATGATCTCGTCTTCCAGCTCATGGTTGCGGTAGCTGGAGGGGGGCGCTGTGTAGAGCCAGATCACACAGATGACGATCTGCATGAAGGTGCAGAGGAAGACCAGGAGGAACTGCAGGTTGAGCCCCCACCACTTGCGGTGGAAGCTGGTGGGGATCTTGGCCTCAAACACCAGGAGGACACGGTTGGTTTTCACCAGGATGCACGAGATGCAGAGCACAAAGCTGATGCCGAAGGCTGGCTGTCGCAGGCGGCACGTCCAGTCCTGGGGCTCCCCGATGAAGAACAGGGAGCTTGAGAAACAGCAGAGGAGGGAGAAGAGGAGGAGGTAGGAGAGCTCCCGGTTGGTGGCCTTGACTATGGGCGTGTTGCGGAACTTGATGAAGACACCCAGCACGAAGGCGGTCAGGAAAATGCCCAGCACCGCGAAGAGGGTGAGCGCGATGCCAAAGGGCTCCGTCCACGACAGAAACTCAATCTCCTTGGCGATGCAAGAGGTGTGGTTCTCATTGGACCAGAAGTCATCAGGGCACTTGTCACAGGCACTTGCATCTGTAAAAAGTCCCAGTGAAGAAGTAGTTACTGTTGGGCCGAGGCTAACCTCTGTTGGAGGGGACCTGGAGGGTGAGTGCACACGGCTGCTGGAGGCAGTCACCTTAAATTGTTAAATTGATGAAATAATTGTGGTTTCTCTGCATTATCAGATAATATATTAAACCCTGACTTATGTCTAATAATCTACTTAGCTGATTTAATTTTTTTCCTTTCTGCAAGAGGTAAGGGAAGGGAGCTAGCGTGTTTCTTTTCTCTCTACCTGCATTTGGTCTGTAGCAGAGAATAATCAATGTTGCTGAAGGAAGCGGTCTGAACACCAAGGATCTGGCATGCGCCATTCATTTCAAAGTGATTCAGGCCCAGTCTGAGTTATTCTGGATACAGAGATGGACTCTGTGGACATGCCAGAGCAGATTTCCTCTTAGATCAAGAGAATGCATCCTACACAGATGACCTGTGCCCACCTCATTCCTCATCTGTGGTTTTCCAATGAGGAAGGCTTCAGACTCAGTGACTGAACACTTATTAAGTCTGCTATGTCCCAGACAGTGTGCAGTGCTGGGGTGTAAAGGAGGCATGGTCTTTGTTGTCAGAGATCTGGATGGGAATCCTGTGACTATGGTAAGCTCCTTAACCTCTCTGAACCCCTCAGGTGTGAAGTGGAAGCAATAATAACCCATTATTGTGATGAGAATGAAATAATGAAGGTGATAACAATTATGGATGATTTTTATAGAGTGCTTCCAATATGGCAGTTGAGGTTTTCATTTAACAAATAGTTATCTAGAATTTACTGTATGCTTTACCAATATGAACTAGTTTAATTCCCAAACTCTGCAAGATAGAATCATTATTAATCCTACTTTATAGACAAAGCTGTTGAGGCACAAGAGAAAACCTAAGATAGCAAGTGAAGTACCCAGCACCCTGCAGGCAGTCTCTCATCGCCTATTAACTCAGGAGGCTGGAATAGACAGGATTTTGTTTACTTAGAGCCACTGAGCTATGAGAAAAGGAAATCAATTGGAAAGCATCATCAAAGTGAAAGAAAGAGGTGGAACCGATGTGCTGTAAGCTCTTATACAAAAGTTATACTCCTTTTCGATTCCTTCTCAGTGTCTAGCCCAGCATACTTGGGCATAGCTTGTCAAGTAAAAACATGTGCTGAGCAGCAACTGGGTCCTGCCCTTTGAGAGACTTCACCGACTCCATGACCCCAAAGTGGGCCAATCCCTGAAAGGAGTCAGGGGCAGTTCCTTTACCTGTCTCATCACTGTACTCCCCATCTGGACACTCTACACATTCAAAACAGCAGGTGGGCTTCCCCTCAATGATTCCTTTCCTGGTCCCTGCCAGGCAGTCTCTGCTGCAGTTGGAGAAAGGTACCTGAAGGACAGAGAACACACAAATGAGTGCAGCTTTCGGGTGAGGCTGACAGCGACTTTGACACGTGACAGGGAGGAGTTGGGCACATGGACCAACATGGGAGATCCAAGCTCCTTCCAGCAGACACAGGTTCTTGCTCCTGCTATTTATGCACATCTGTGGGGAGCAAGGAAGTTACTTGCTGGGAGTCTACAGAGTGACCCAAATTCTTCTCAAATACTCTCTCCTTCCATCCCTTTCAGGGCCCAGAATGAGATACCCAGTTACTTGCCATAGAGGTAAAAGCCCAAGATAAACTGACAGATAAAATGGCAAGAACCTACAGACAGGGGGACAGTCACAAAGGAAGATGCTGAGATGAGGGGGAGGGGTGGGCTTTCACACTTCGGCACCCCTCACTGCTTAAAAGGCATCTCATGGGAATGTCAATTCCTAGATTCTTTTGCCTTCCTGAACCTGTGGGCCAAGTGGGCACCACTAGCTTGCAGGCATCTTCTGTGAAAAAGAAAGCAGCCAGTTCCGGTTATTGGAAGCAAAAATATACAGGTCAGGCCCTCTCTGGTGGCGCAGCAGATTAAAGCACAGCACTGAGAAGCTAAAGCCACTTCCGCATGAGTTCCATCCCCTGCCCTGGAATTTCATTAAACCTGATCATGACACTGTAGCTTATCAAAAGTGTGACATATGGCCCTCCCTGGTGGCGCAACGGGTTAGGATGCAGCACTGCAAGCTGGCTGCAGCCGCTTCAGTGGGAGTTCATTTCCCTGCCCCAGAAGTGATCCCACATGGCACAGCAGACCTCTCCTGACCTGCCCGCTGACCCCCTCAGCAGTGCACTTCATCAGCTGGACTGTTCTGCAACTCACACTGTCTCTGGTGAAGCTTCTCACCGCCCCTGCACTTCTGGCATGTACCCCAGGTCTGTATGCATGAGTAAGTAAATCTTTAAAAAAATAAAAAGTAGGAACTCTTATAGATTTTCATATATCAACTAATATGAGGAAAATCTAGTTGTTAAGGGAGAACATACCACACAACTGGTCATGTCATGTTTTCTGTTCTGAAGAGTTGACAATCCAAAAGATTTAAGCTATTAAAACGTACATTTTTTTTCTTCAATCCTTCAACCACTGCACTGCTCAATAATTTGTCTATATTCTTATCTTTTAAACTTACTAACATTTAGGCCCTCCCTGGTGGCGCAACGGGTTAGGATGCAGCACTGCAAGCTGGCTGCAGCCGCTTCAGTGGGAGTTCATTCCCCTGCCCCAGAGGTGATCCCAGGGCACAGCAGACCTCTCCTGACCTGCCCACTGCAACCCCTCAGCAGCGGGTTTAATGAAATTCTCTAAATCTTGGCATGAGTACAAATATAATATAAACTGAATAATTCAACAGAAGTGAATAGGCGGTAGAACAGCTGATCAGACCCTAGCTGGTGAAAATGTGATCATTTAGACAAGGGCATAATTAGTGGACAAAACAATATACCCCAAATCTTTGGGAAAATGTCTTGCTATTTATATTTGAGAATTTACCCTCTGAGGTGGAAGCTAATAAAGACTTGCTTCAATAAGTAAGTCCTGTGTGAATGAGTTTCATTATCTATAGTCCTCACTCAGGTAATCTCTCCTATACGTTGAGAAACAGTGAAATTGTACCATCATATCAGAAACCCATCAACCTAAAAAGTATTTGGTGAAAAAATGAAATTCAAGTCTAGTCACATTATATAAGAATGGTCTACGTTTAGCAACTCCGAAGAAATCACCTAAGGGTGAAAGCAAAACAAAATGTAATAGATTTCATGCAGTCTTCTTGGGACAGTTAAAAAATGATGTTTTTTTAGAGATGGTTCCTACAGAAAATCTGGCTACCCAGCAGCCATGACAGAATGGCCATTGTTTCAGCAGAAAGTGTCTAGAGCAAATTCACTAGAGATGGGTATCTCATTATTAATCAGACTTCTAGCTGCAGTGATATTTAGGGAGGAGGAGATTCCTGATCATGGTTATAAGCATCATCCTGTTTTGTTTTTATTTATTTATTTATTTTTGGGTAGAAAAACTGGGGTGTAGGCCAGAGTTGCAGGTGGAAGGAGGATTCATCACAGGTATATTTACTGTAACACACTGCTAAGGGGAGCAGTGAGGAAGACAAGAGAGGTCTACTACACCATATGTGGTCAGCTCCCTGGCCAGATATTGAATTCAGGCAGCAGAGGTGATAACGCTGAGACTTAACCCCTAGGCCACCAGGGAGGCCCCATCATTCTAGTTGTTACAGGTCTCCCGTATTAGGAAAATAAATTGTCCTTTGATTTATAAAACAGTCAGTCCTGAGCTATTTGGATGATGGGGAATGACCTCTGTGTAAATTGTCAAGGCCCTCCCTTGATTAATATTTTGCTGTTGTTGGAAAAAGTTTTAGCCAAGGAACCTGTTACCAACCAGACAATCATATTTGTAAAGAGTAAAATAGTCTTGGGGCTCAAATTCCACGGACTTCCCTCTGTACAGCAAACACTGATGGATTCCACAAGGACATAAGGAACCCTGAAAAATAGGGAGTTAATATGTTGCAGGAAGTGGACTTATTATTTTGGAAATCCAGTGGTGCAACTCATAGCTTTCCCTATGCCCAGCAGAGTTTCATATGCGCAGGGCGACACTGACAGACCGCACGTACCTCCCTGGAGAACCCACTCCACAAGATCTTCTCCTCGTTGATGAAAAGCCTCTCTCCCTTCTTTGCATAGACGTTGTAATATCCAACCTCCTTAAACACAATGGAGCCATCCTCAGGGGAGAGGTGCCAGTTGATGATGGAATAGTTTCCCACCAGGTCACCACACTCATCAAAAGTCACTTGTTCTCCCATGTTGTTGGTAAAGTTTAGGTGCCGAAGGTGCTTCAGGACCTAAAGAGGAGCAGAGTGGATGTTCTGAGTATAAGCCTCATGGGTGCCATGTCGAGTTACATAGGTTGTGTACTATGCAAGGACAATAAAACATATTCTTTTAAAAAAAAAAAAAAGTGGACGGAACAAGACCTGCAGAAGAGATGCCTTTTTCTAATTAGCACTGAGGATTGGCCTGTGCAAGAAGAAGCTCTGATAAACTGTGGACATTACTTCCCCCGTGGGCACTGCCAAATGAAGGCTTCTGCAGGTGCACCATCACCTGGCTATGCCTTAGGACAGGCGGGTTTGTAAGCCAGAGTCCATTCCTGGAATCTTCTGAGATGAGTTTTGGGGAAGAGTTGGAGGTGCTAAGTGACCTGCATTGGCCTTACCTGTGCTGCTGCTTCTGTGGAAGTGTCTTGCTGCCAGAAATTACAGAGAAGGGAATAGAAGGAAAAGAGATGAAGCTATGGATGAAACCCTGAAAATCATTATTGCACTGGTCATGACTAATTCCTTAATCTTTACCTGGTTTTTATGGGTTACTAAACCCTTGTATGAAACAAATAATGATAATCATCATTAAATCTTAGCAGTAGCCATTTTACTCACTTTAAGGCACAATGCTAAGTATTCATGATCTAATCTAATCCTCACAACAAACAGTACTATTACCCCCATTTTATTGCTGGGGAAACTGAGGCAAAGAAAACGGAAGTCTTGTCCAGGTACAAAACTTGTACTTTTAATAGCTGTGCTCTAAGGTAGTATCCACAGGTTCTTGGCTCTCCATGCCAGCCACTGGCAGGGGTCTAGAGGAGGCTGTGGATGCTCAGCAGACTGTTTTTCATATGGGAACTATTAGGATCAAGGGGTCATGGAGGCACCGAGAGAGAGCAAGAGAACAAGAGTGAGAGAGGGAGAGAGAGAGATGGTCCAGCTGTGGGGGCCCTTGCACTGCACCTCATGAGTCACCAAAGTTCATCACTCTGGCTCTCAGCAGAGTGTAATGAGAGGACTGGGCCAGAGAGGCTAAGGGCTAGACAAGCACTATACTTTTAGAGCTTCTAGAATGTCTCTGTCCTATGGTTTGGAGTCCATTTAAAGGCACCCTTTTCCTCTCATCGTTATATCTAAGGTACCTACAAATCAGACATCTGCTCCCCTCAGCAGTGTCCTTTGTCAATCTGCCTGTTCTGCTCCCTGTCTCTGGTGAATCCTCTCACCCACCGCACCTCTGGCCTGTACCCCAGTTCTGTAAAACAGATAAGTAAATCTTTTTTAAAAATGTACCCATTTTAAGAGTATAGTTCTGAACTCTGGCAAATGTATATGCTTGTGTAAAGCCCATTACATTCACCTCAACAGGTTCTGTGATGTCCCGTCCGAACCAATCCCACCCCACTTGCAGCCCTAGGCTCCGCTGATCTATTTTCTTTTTATCATCAGAGACAAAACGTCATATGAATAAGTCATATAGTATGGACTTTTTTGTGTGTGTAGCATGTTTTTGTGATTCATTTAGGTTGTATATGTTACTTTCACATTTGATAGTTCATGAAAGGGATTACACATACCTAGATGGTCATGTAGCATCTTGCATGTGGTAATATTTCCATCTTGTGGTTTCTTATGGTATTTCCTCTAACGGGTTTTAAAGTTAAAAATTGTTAATCATTATAAGCATATATGAGAATCACCTCTGGGCTGATACTCAAGTTAAAGACTAGAGATGAGACAGAAACTCCCTACTGTAGTCCAGAATTCTCCACTCTTATACATGGCATCACTTCCCAGCGCACTATTCACACAGATAAAGAGGGACAGTTCACACAGATGAGGAATGTATTGCTTTTTGTGCTAAAGCACTTAATGTGCTATGAGAGTAGCGAAGATCCAGGACCAATTCCCTCTAACTTCACTATTTTTCTTATCTCTTTTCCATCTACTCTGGCTCTTATCCCAATGATCAGAAAGTGTGTGTGGGAGTATGATTTGAAAAGACTTCAAGGATAAAGTGAACTTTGAAAGTGATTTAAAAGTTTGTGGTGGATAATGACAGAGATGACCAAAACGGATACTATCTAAGTAAAAATGCTATGCCCAAAACTAGTAAGTGATTTGTGTATAGGTGCCAGGCATGTTGGCTTACAAGAGAATAACTGAGAGACGTGGGGTCAAACTCCGGGCTGAGATGTGTAGATTAGAATGCATAGGTGACAGGTGTCCATGTAGATCTTGATTATGGGAGTGAATTATTGAGAGCTCATTTCTTGACTGATAGCAACATGATCAATATCTTAATTCTAAATTGCCCACTCAACTGTCTGGCTTTCTGAGGCTCATATGAGATTTACAACAGACAGAAGACATTCCAGGCAATCTCCACATGTTATTTCTCACTAGAGCTCTGACTCTGTTTCCTTTCCTGGATGGAAAGTGCCAGACCATCTTGGATTAGGGTCAGCTGTAGGGTCCATGAAGTAGACACTTTTTATTTTGGCTAATTTGCTTCTCTCTCTCTCTCTCTCTTTTTTGAGGTAACTATTTTATAACACTGAATGTCATTTACAGATATGGGTTCATGCCTCTTCTGATGGATGTTACCATATCTACCACTAAAGCAGATTGGTATGTTTCCATTTTGTTGTTATTTGTTTTTAAAAGTTTATTTAGTTATGCATACAAGAACTGGGTACAGGCCAGAGGTGCTGGGGTATGGGAAGTGAGAGGATTCACCAGAGACATAATGGGGTATTGAATGAAATACACTGCTTAGGGGAACAGCAGGCAAGACAGGAGAGGTCTGCTGTGCCATGAGGGTAGCTCCCTGGCGGGGGATCAAACTCATGCTTCAGTGGCTGCAGCCAGCTTCCCAGCTTCCTGGTGCTGTGCTTTAACCCCTTGCACCACCAGGGCGAATCCTCTGTTTTGTTCTGAAATTTGGGCAATTTTCATGCAGTATCCAGCATAATTTTGATTTGCATTTCCTTAAGAAGTGATGATGAGAATTTATTTTTGTGTCTATGTATTTCTATGTATGTCTTCGTTATTTCTTTCACTTCTAGTTTGTTGTCTGCATCTAAGAATGCAACTTATTTTTGTATATTGATTTTGTAGCCTGCCACTTCACTGTACTGATTTATTGTTTCTGACAGTTTCTAATGACATCTTTTTAATGTAAGTGATCATGTCATCTGCAAATACAGTTTACTTCTTTTTTCAGTGTATATATATATATATATATATACACCTTCCTTTTTTCTAATAGCTCCAGCTAAGACTGCCATACAATGTAGAATAGTAGTGGTGAAAGTGGACATCCTTGTCTTGTTCCTGATCTGAGAAGGAAAGTTTTCAGTTTTTCACTATTGCGTATTATATTATCTGTGGGTCTATCATGCTTTCTTTTACCCATACTTTGAGAGTTTTCATCATAAATGGTTGTTGGATTTTGTCAGATGCTTTCTCTGCTTCTCTTGATATGATCATGATTTTATCTTTCTTTTGTTGATGTGGTAAATATATCATAGTCTAGATCTCATTGTATTTAGATAGGTTTTTTTTGTGTTTTTTTTTTTAGCTTTATGGACTTGTACACTTACTTCCTTCTGTTTTGGAGCTTTTATGCTATTATTTCTTTGAAAAAATTATCTGTTCTACCTTCTCTCTCTCTCCCCCTTTTGGCATACTCACTATCTTTATGTTGCCTTACCTAACAGAGTTGGATAATTCTCGAAGAGTTTCTTCTACTTTTTTTGCTTTGTAATTCTCTTTCTTCCACTTGGTTCTTTTGTGTATAATTTTCTTTAAGCTTATTGATGCCATAGTTTAATTTGAACTATTCTGCTTCCAAAGCTTTCTCCAGAATTTTGAAATCTCATCTATTAAACTTTTTATATCCTGCATCTCTCTTATTTTCTTGGTAAGAGCTTCAATTTCTATTTTCTAGTCATTACTTTTATTTTTCATTTCATTCTCCTTTAAAAATTTTTTTAAACTCTGCTTTTTTGAATTCTTTTATTTACCACTTTAACTTGCCTTTTGCATTTTCTTCCACATCTTTGATTTTTTTTAAAGATTTATTTATTTGTACATACAGAACTGGGGTACAGGCCAGAGGCTCAGGGGCAGCGAGAGGCTTCACCAGAGACAGAGTGGGGAGCAGAACAGGCAGATTGACGAAGTACACTGCTGAGGGGAGCAGTGGGTGGGTCAGGAGAGGTCTGCCACGCCATGTGGTCACCTCAGGGGCAGGCGGGAATCGAACTCATGCAGAAGTGGTTTTAGCTTCTTAATGCTGTGCTTTAACTCACTGCGCCACCAGGGAGGGCCACATCTTTGATATTTTTATTATGGCAATTTTGAACTCTATTTCTCAGGGAGATAAAAATTTTCAATGTCTTTGTGGTTAGATTCTGGAGAGTGCTTCTTTTCCCTGATGTCATATACACTTGATGTCTCAATGTGCCACATCTTTTTTTTTTTGTCTGCCCATTTTGGTGCTTTAAATTTCCCTATTTTTAAAAAATATCTATAGCAGTAACTTATAGAATTTAAATGCTCTTAGTTTCCCGCAGGTGGCACTGTGGTTTTGTTTTAGTATTTTGACCTTTGCTGGCTTCCATCGGACTAAACCATTTTGTAGTCATTGGGTGGGGAGAGGCTTAGAGGGGACCATTCTATGGTGTGATGTGGGGAAGAGAGGCCTCCACTCCTAATTTCAGGGATGGATATGTGAGCTTGTATTAGTCAATCAGTATGGCTTCTAGAACTTTCATGGAGGCCCTGGGAAGAAAGGAAACTCTTGCAGTGATGATTCTATGAACCTAAACTTCTAATCTGAGTCTGAAAATGATTAACTCTGAAGAATAAGTACAAAGAGATGGAGATGAAAGTATTGAGCTATACCTGAAATATTTCGGAGATTTTCAGTATTATGAGTTACTAACAAGTTCCTTCTTTTACTTTAACCAGTTTTGTTTGGGTTGTGTATTATATGTAAGCAAAAGTCTTCAGTTTGACTACAGTTTAATTCTTTGCCTCTTTCTCGTATTCCCAAGCTTTGGTCTTGACCAACTGGGTGCTATTTTCTTTTCTGAGAGAGACCAACTGGGTACTATTTTCTTCTCTGAGAGAGAAGTCTTTGAACAGCTGAACTGTCAAACTACCCATATGAAGTCTCTTTTCCCCTCAAATATATAGACCCTCATTGAACTGGAAGTCCTCCTTCCAAGGGACATGTAAAGGGAGGGAGAAAAGGCGGTAACATTTACTACTCAGAGATAGCCCTTTTCCTCTCTTTCTTAAAACTCTACTTAGCATCATGACTCCTGAAGTCTTTTTGATCTTTGAATTTTATTAGAACTCTCCTTTCTTTGCCAAGGTGGAGAAGAGCACAATGCAAGGGAAAAAAAAATTACATACATCATGGAGATGAAAAATTTTAGCTAACAATGATTTCAGAGAGATTCTGCCCTCTCTCTTCAACCCCCTCACACACACACACAAAGATCTTGGCTCATTCCACCAGTCTAGACAGTCATTCCTCATCTCTAAAATGACTGACATAGGATATATATTTTTTGTTTCTTGGTATCTTTTCCAACTTGTCAGTTGTGGTTGGGATCTTCAGATAAAGTAGTTTCAGTTGTTATTTGTTTGTCTAACAGACTGATTAATTAGAGGCCTACTGAAATCTTGCTATTAATACTCACCATCCGTTTAGGGGTTGAAAAATCTACAAATTTCTTTCACATGTATCATTTCATTTTGTAAACAAACAAAAAAGTACGTTAGATTTTAGAGCCATTTTACAGATGAATAGGGTGTGACCTAGAGCAAAAGTATGGTTAAGATAATGCAGCTAGTAAATCACAGAACTAGAGCTAAAGCTGGAAGCTAGGTCATTTGACTCCTATTCAGGAAGCCATCACCCCACCACCCCCAACCCTGCAATCCCTCTGTCATGCATTCTCTCTGACAGGTCAGTCTGGAACTGAAGAGTGCAATGCAAGGTCTGATTTAAATATTAAGGTATATATGCATGACATGAATAGATATAAGTCAGATCATGTTTTTATCTTTAGAAGTTCTATAAAAAAAGATTGTTAACCTTATATATAATTGCAAAAAACAGAATAAGACTAAACAATAAAATGAATGCAGGAATTCTACTTTAGTTCTAATTATCTTTCAGGATAACTATTTCAGGGCTTCTGTTTCTAAACACCCACAATAAAATTCTTTTAAGAAAATATTTTATGTGTCTTTGATCTGCTTATGTCCTAAGTTTAGTTGGCCTGTTGGGTGGTCTCACACAGGGTGTAATATAACGGCACAAGTAATACAATAATGCTAGTTTTATGTCCTTTAACAAATGAAATGTATTAATATATGACAGTAACAACTACTTATTTGCATATAGGGAGACTACCTTTAATTGAAGCATTAGAAAAAAACATACTCCAGTATTGAATATGTTTTCGGGTTTAGGGGCCATTCTCTAGAATTTTGAACCACTGGACTATAGTGGCTCAACATGGAAGTTGAGCCAAGAATTTAAACTTTAATCAAATAAATTACTATTAATGTTGAAGAAATCAGTTGCACGGATGTTTGAAAACACAATTTGATATAAAACTATACTTAGTGAGCTCACTTAGATATTTCCTTTTTTTTTTTTAAATTTGGTAACCATTTTATCTGTCTCCTAGATCATCCCAACTCAGTTTTATCAGACTGTGAACTTCTATCTATGCGAAGGATGTACCTGCCAAGCCTCCACCTTCTTGATGTCTGCACAGGAACCATTGGTGAAGAGCCCTCGCCCCGGTAAACAAGTATATATATCTTGCAGAGCATGAGCAATAGAGTAGACTGCTAAGTAGACATTGTAGGATATCCGTAAATGTGTATAATCCATGTAAGGGGTCTCAACACTGCTGATGTTCTCATCTCCTGTACAGAGAGGTCGAAAGACAGTGGAGCTGTTGTTTATTCTGCTACCACCTTCTTCATGACTTCTCAGGAAGGTGTCCATAGGTAATGGTCCTTTAGTACCTTCTTGGAGGTGGCAGTTAAATGTTTCTTCCCAAAACTCCTTGGCAAAGCCATTGTGGATAGACTTTCTGGGGTGAACTTTCTGCAGGAATTCCCGGAAACCTGGAATCTGCCCGGCCTTCAGAGCAAATCCGATGGTGCCTCCAACCACATGGAAGTATTCAGGCATGGCGATCAAGGAAGAACTGGCCCATGCCTCGCTGGCTAGCCAGATCCTGCCTGTGATATTGCGCCGGACAATTTCCTTGATGAGAGGTTCAAGGTCTGGACCACTGGAGAAAACTACAATGACTTTAGCAGTGGAATTCTGGATCACCTCCACCACTTGCTGGATCTCTTCCTCATCAGAGTATTGGGAGATGAGCTCACTGAAGTCAATACAGATGTCCCTCTCTTCAGCTTCCTCTCGAAACTTCTCAATCCCTGGCCGGCCATAGTCATCATCAGCAGCAATTGTGCCCACCCAGTTCCAGCGGAAATATTCAATAATGTCTGCCATGGCGGTGGCCTGGTGTTCATCATTGGGGATGGTCCGGAGGAAGGACTTGAACTGATTCTTGTTGCTGAGGAGTCTACTGGAGGAGGCATAGCTGACCTGGAAAGAATCAAAACCACAGTGTGAATGAGGTGCCAGGTGGATGTTAAAGATATATATGTGAGTGGCTTTCTGAGTTTTCATTAATCTCATTTACTTTAGTACTTTAAATACAAGTACTTTTGAGGGGGGGGGCAAGGGACGGTGAGAGGATTCACCAGAGATAGAGTGGGGAGCAAAACCTGCAGACTGACAAAGTACACTGCTGACAGGAATGGTCTGCTGCCCCATGTGGGTCACCTCCCTGGCTGGGAGTCAAACATGTGCTGAAGATGCTGCAGCTAGCTTTGTACAGCTGTGCTTCACCCCACTGCACTCCAGGGAGGACCCTAGATATAAGTACTCCTCATTGCAGTCAGTTCCAAGAACTGTTTATCATTTAGTCTCAATTGGCCACTTGAGTTCATTAGGCTCAATTCCTCTGCATCACAATAACTATGATGTATGTCATCAGATGTATATAAAAAAAAATTCTTTCTTTTTCCAGCTTCACAATAAACTCAACCACCATCCAGAGCTCTTTCTTCTGATATTTTTCAGGAAATGCCTGAAGCTACTTAAAAGGCTTTGGCTGTGGGTTTCCAAAACCCAGAGTGGTTGAAAAGGAAGCTTGGAGAAATTGTCTTGGTTATTTTCATTTTCTAAGATATAGCCAGTTCTTCATCTGGGACTGGAGAAGGGGCACCAAAGGGAGACAGCCTTTAATGGTAGAAGATCATTGTCCAAAGCAGTATGCAAATATCATGCAAAGCATCTCTTAGTGCCAAACTTCCTGACTCATTTTCACAGTACAGCAAGCAGAAGCCGGAAGGAACGGAACAGTCTCAGCAAACCTGGGAGGGCGTGATTGCACCACCCAGGCCCCATTGGCCGGCCCAGAGACTGCGTCTTGGTGGTCTCTGGCCCATCAGCCGCTCTCTGGTGTGTCCTGGTTCACCAGTTAGGGTGCTCCAAGTTACTGGAAGATTTTTTTTTTCATAAGCTGGATGCATTTTTACATTTAATAGAATTTTTTCTCTCAAAGAATGAGTGTTTGCTATCTCTTATTCTATACTTTTCTAGAGTTATTTTAAGTCTAAGGAACTTGAAGGACTGCCTTTTAATATTTCTCACCGATTGAAACAATTACTTTATATGTTCAGTGTTTCAAATGATTTCCTCCCACTATATTCCTTGTTCACAATTAACACTTTCTACATCAAAAAGCTTAAAAGATATTGTGCTTAAAAGCAGTGGGGCAACTTTGTTAGAGTGGACTTGACATTTCTGAAAAGATCTTTGATGACATTAGTCTTTTTTCTCTTATCAGAAGGAGCCCCTTCTCGCTCTACTATGGGAGTTCATGGTAGATAGCTTATTTCTATTAAGTAACTTGTTGAGCTGTTACTGTCTTTGAGAGCTCTATTTGTTGAATCTAAACAACAGGTTTCTGAATCAGGTTTCTACAAATGAAAACCTACTTGGCCATTATATATATATATATCCATCCAGTGAATGCAGTAAAATTTACCGACTTCTGGATGCTTTTTTAAAAGTGGGCAACAAAGGGTCGAAAGAGATACATCACGAAGCAAATATATCCCCTATGGGTATTTTTCTCATAGATGTATTTATAGTACTTGTCCAGTTTATAAAAAGCAAGTTAGGAAAATGGAGGTAAGTACCACTTTGTACCCCTCAAAAAACCCCTTAAAAACACACAAACTTTTTTAATAATAAGCGGGGAGAATTTCATGAGTGACTCAGAAAACTTTTAACCACAACTTGCTGTACTTGGGCTGCTCCTTCCATCCACTTGGTGGCATGTGTCTCCTGAGAAACGCCACTGAGCTCTGTTCCCACGCACAGAGCCGAGGCTCCCAACTCAGCTACACTTCACAATAGCCTGGGACACTTCCACACCTCCTCTGCCCAGGCTGCATTTTATGTCAACTAAACAAGGGTTTCTGGGGGATGTATGTGATGCCCAAGTATCCATTTTTTACAAGTCCCCCAAATGACTCCCTCGTGCAGCCAAGGCAGCGAACCACTGCAGATACTGTCTTGATCTGACTTGCTAATTGTGAGTATCTTGGCACTTTTATGACACAAATTCAGCCTAATCATTCATCCAAATCATAAGGAAACCTTTCCTTTCATGTTCTTTATTTGATGGCAATTACATCATAATCTGTGAGCCATGACAATTTAATTATGTATTTAAAATAATACTGCACAATATGTAAAAAAGGCTTGTTTTTATATTCCCCAACACATTTACTGATTGTGCTTTCTTTGATCATTTTGGGACAAAAGTTGCAGAGCCAGGGCTTCCCCATGGGAAGCACCTTTGATTCTTTGAAGTAAGGATTTGAGAAGTGATGACAAGACTTTTTCAGTTGCCATGTGTATGTTAAGGGATAAAGGGAAAATGGATATCACCAAGGAAACAGACTTCCAAGATAGACGTTGAATTTATCTAAGGTGTTCTTACAAATCTGAAATCTTAAACATTGAAAAAGTCAACTTAAAGTGTGATTTATAATTTAACTTAAAATTTAATGTAAGGAATGCTTCACAATTGAGCTGCCACTCCTATCCATAAACATCTAGATTGCTTCCAATTCTGCCATACTATAAAGTAATGCTATGGATCTGTAAATATTAATGTCAAAAGATTTGCTCTATAATGTTAAGGGTAAAAACTATAAAATGGCACTTAGAATTTGCTGTCTTTTTACTTTGGTGACAAAATCTTGAACAAATGTTTATTAAAAAACTTGTTCCAATGAACTGTCAGTATTTGAAATGGAGATAATCTTTCCACTGAGACTGAGTTTTTGAGGGGTGGAGGCTGCTTATTCATATACCCTCTATAAATATCTGTTGAATAAAATAGAGTATTTTTCAATTCTAGAATGTGCAAGACAGTTTTTGCACATTTTTGTTAGAAATTGTACTGTTTCCCTATGGTCGAACTAAATTTTCAATCAGGCAGAGAGGCAGAAACTTTCAAAGGCGTAGGGCTAAGGACCAATGTTGGTTTGAAAGACAGGCATTATGTCACATGACTTCATCCCCTTTAAGAAAGGCCAAAGAAAGGCCATTTACTAAAGGAATTTAATGGGAAATAAATAATTTGGTGAAAAAAAAAGTTTTACACAAGGTATATTTAAAGGAATTCTGAAAGACACTGTAATCTCAGAATACCAAGTGGTCATGATATAGTGCTCTGGGGACTTACAAGTTGCTTTTAGGCCATGGTGAACCAGAGATAGGAAATTAGCAAACTGCAAGGACACAGGGCAGGGCATTGCTCGCAGTGTGCTCCCTTCCTGCTGGCATCACCCATGGAGAAGGTGCAGTACCTGGGGAATGTAGAAGAGGCCTAGCAGGTTCGCCACCGCCGTGGAGATGCCCGAACCCGTGGCTCCCACCACAGCGATTGTGGAGGGGATGTGCTCTGAGCAGTTGCAGAACTCATCAAGGTTCAAAGAATCGATTTTGTTTTGGGCCACAAAACTCAGCGTGGCCTCCAAAGCTTTAGAAACGGTGTTGCAAGTGTCGAATATCCTGTATCCCAGAGTCATGTTAGGCAGAAGGGCCGGGCTGCTGTTTATTTCCTCTATGGCAAATATCATAGCTTGTAACCATCGAAATCCTCGGAAATTATACCTAGAAGAAAGAAAGAATGAGGGCCAAATAAGAGATGTTTCTGTTCAACTGCATTAAGATGCCGACTGGACAAAGCCAGGCTTGGTGCCTGTTTTTGTTATGCTTTGGTTTCACGACATGGTGTTCCTTGAGCCTCAAAGTCCTTTCTGTAAAATGGGGAGCACACCTACCTCACGGGGTGACTGTGAATCTGAGATAATTATGCACAATTGTCAGCCCAGGCCTCAACAGAGCTAGGGCACAATAATAATGAAAACTGTTATTAGTAACAGGAAGGATAATTTCTATCTGCCTCACCCAGCAAAGAATTCAAAGTCGCTGATGTGAGCTATTTTACTCAAGTAATACAGAGATTTAAGAAGAAAAAGAACTAAACTAGGGTTTTAATACATCAAGCTTAAAAATCAGCTGAGAATGCAGAGTGAAAAATCTAGACTATGACTTTCCTGGAGGCCAAAGGGAAAAGGGTGGTTGTATTTTTGTAAAGAATGAGTTGGCATAGGAAAGCTGTCCACACAGAGCGGTTATTTCTGGGTCGTGGTATGATAAGTTTCATAGTGATGTGCTTTTAGCTCATGTGTACTTTTTATTTTAAAAATGAACATTTTTTAACAGTTTATTTTTACATCATTTTGTACATTTTTTTCATCTCAATTGTAATCCCCATGGGTTTCCCATCACCAAGTCACCCGTGTGCCATCACCATAGTCCTGTGCACTTCCCTCCCCACCCCCACCCCCATTTTTGATCCCATTCCCCACTCCACCCCCACAAAATGTCTCTGGTATATGGCTGTTTATTATTCTTATTTTCTCGCCTGGTCCAAAAATGAACATATTTTTAAAGATGAAAATTATTTTAAGTAAAAGGCAAGTCAATTAGCAAAGAAAAATAGGGCCAGGGATGCAGTTTTCATAATAAGACTTAACTTGGAATGAGGGCTTGATAAATGTGGAGCACTGGTATATCTGTACCCAAAAGAGAAAACAAAGAACTCCGCAGTTTTTCTCTCTGTAATGGGCTTCACCACATTAACTAAATGACTGGATGAACAATCTTTTATATTCCACAGTACTGTTTAGGTTTCTAAGAATGCTGCTCTAATTTTTAATGCAACGGCTTCTCTTAGTCATTTTCTCATGTTTTCTTCATTTATTTGTTTCGTTCTTTGTCTTAAACCCACAAACATTAACGAAATAGTACAAAATTTTTCATGACATAAAACACCTATACTGCTAAGCTGATTTTGCTACCTTTAATCAAATTAAGAAAATAGCCTATTTCTGGTCAATCTTCTTGCTTGACTTTTGGATAAATATGTGTCACTTGCACAACTCTGTCCAGCAAGGTAAAAAAAAATAAAAGGAGGACACTTTCCCACACAAGTAATGTTAAGGATGCAGTCAGCTTCAGTAAAATTTTGCATGGTTTCTCTGCATTGTCAAATGTTAAAAGTTACCTATTATTTTGTGAGATCCCATTAGAATGTGAACAGAAACCCAGTTTTATTGCAACAATTCTAATTTTCATTTTGCAGTTACCAGAGAGATTAAGGAAAAGTGCTGGGACCCTTCTGGAAGTGGCAAGTCTCAGAAAGAAAGTGCTAGACTCTTTCAGAACAAGGGTCAAGATTTGTGGTGCATTAGTGGTTTCCAGATTAAGGAAGGTGACATAGAAAACAGTCCGCTGCAAAAATCAGATCCCATTTGAAGGAACAGTGCCTAGTTTTATCTTTTTTTTTTTTCTAAGATTTATTTTTTTATGCATACAAAAACTGGGGTACAGGCCAGAGGTGTGTGTGTATGGGGCTGGGGGTAGGGTTCACCAAAGACAGAGTGGGGAGCAGAACAGGCAGATGTACTGAAATACACTGCTGAGGGGAGCAGCGGGAGGACAGGAGAGGTCTGCCACGCCATGTGGGTCAGCACCCTGGCCAGGGATACATGTTCTATTCTAAAAAAGTCAGGATAATTAGTGAGCAGGAGATAGAGGGCAAATAAAAGTAGTGAGGGGGTCTGGAAAACTTGTCATGGAGGAATTAGTGGAAAAAACTGAGACTATTTGTTCAGGAAAAGAAACAATTTGAGGAGACATGTTATCTATGTGCTAGTGAAAGTGAGATGTACCTGTGTTTGGGGCAGGTTGAGGGGCGTGGGGATAGGAAATTTTACAACTCAAGTTTGCAAATAAATTTCCTCTAGGTATTTATTTCCCACTAGGCAACACCTGCCACCAGGTGAACACTAGTGATCAGGAATGTGCTCTGATAGGCCACAGGTTTTTTTATTCGTTCTCTGACAGTTTATATTTGGAATTTATTTTTTTCAGAAAGGGTGGGGTAAATAAGATTTAAGTATGATTTTTAATCACTATTCTTGAAAAGAGAGAACAAATTTGGAAACATAATTTGGGTTTGTTTGGTATAGCTTTTCTCCAACCACCCGGAAAAGGCTCTCTTTCCCCTCCTCCCCTTACCTGATACATTCCACAGATTCCGGCCTTGATTTGAGATCTTGATCTTTGGCTGCTACTCCAAAATGAATTGGAAAGAGCCCTCCAAGGATAATGTCCCCCTTCTTCTGGGCTCGCTGATCAGGTCCATAAGCTGAAGCATGCCAGGTAAAGCATGCCAAGAGGATCAAACAGCAGCTATAAAATGCCATGGTTCTGCTTTGTCTCCAGGGGGGAGAGACAAGAATACTTGTGGTTTGGGGCCTTGAGAACTTTCCCCCTTGGTGCAGTTCACTCCCTGTGGTGGGGACACATGTCTATATAGCTATTAATATCAAAATGGAAGTTGTGTTTGAATTTCCATTTTTGTCTTCTCCACTGCAAACTGACAATTTGGGTAGTCCTTGTGTTCTTAGAAGCCGCATCATGCAGAGACCATCATTGATGTCTCCTAAACAGAAAGAGATAAAATGAATTTAACTGAATCTAAATCCTATCTTTTTATGATGACTGTCACAGAGGTGGCTTGGAATTTCCATTTAGAGAAGCTGGAGCTCTTAACCATTACCATAGACTGCTCCTTACCCCTCAGGGACCCACTTCCTTTCCAACAGTGATTCTAGGAGAAGGTTGTAGGCCCCATTTTGAAGGAGTATCCCAGAAGACACTCAACCTTTATGGAGTTATCTCTGCTAGTGTCTAAAGAGCCACAACATCCAGTTCTCTTTTGGGATTTTTGGCTGCATTCTTTGGACCTTGATTATATATTGACCCATACATTTAATACATTACCTGTGTGAAGACCTGGGAATGAAAGGTGACAAACACATGTCCCCCCTTCCTCAGGAACTCTGAATTTAGGGGCAGGCACACTAGTGATGAATACCAGAATTTAACTCGACATTCAGAAGTGAATAAGATATTCTAACTTTTTGTTTTCTATGACTAAGGTCAACTTTCTGCCCCAGTCTTTAGCACAGGCAGTGGAATAGTAACTACTCAATAAATGTTTGTTGGAAGAATGCATAAAAAATGAAAGTACTTTGGAAGAAGATAGAAACTAGCATCTATTGAATCAGGCATTGTATCGGATCCTTCAAATATCCCATATATTTGAGACTTCACAATTGTCAGAGGGCAGTAACAATTCTGTTTTATAGATGAGAAAATAGATTGTCCATATATTCTGCTTACTCAAGTGGAAAATTCTGGCACTTCAGTTAAGAATGCCTCAAGAACTCAGAAGTTAAAGGAGTCTCATGTAGCGCACTGAATTAGGAGGGGAACATTATAACTGGTTAGGGTGAGTCACTAAGACCTGTTAAGTTTTTCTTGTGAAAGATTAACTACTTGGAGAAATTTATTAACTTCATTAGTCCACTCAACAGATTATTTAAGGCAAGAATTAATAGATGAAAGACTTCTGGTCAATTTACAGCAGTTAACTCTACCAGTCTAATTGTAGTCTCCAAACCACCAATTTCAGTCTAATTACCAGTCTAATTGAGACTCATTCTAGATCCTCCCATTCTTTCTACTTCAACATCTATCACCCTGTTGATTCTTATTTCTCTCCATTTCACCTTCCTAGTCCATTCCTGTTGCCCTGCTTTAGTCAGGCTTCACTGGTAGCCCCATCAACTCCACCCCAATCCCAAGTTCCCTGCTGCAAAAGCTTTCTTTTCTTTCTCTCTTACTCCTTCCATCCTCCACCTACATATCAACAACCAGAGCAGTACAAAGTATGATGATAGCGCAATGGATTAACAACTGGAAGTCATCACTGTGACTTCAGTCGGCACTAGTTAGAACACAGAAGTGCTCATGTGATCACTAACTCTTCAGCTTTAATGTGTGGAGCCTTTTAACTATATCCCTTCTATCTGTACTTGCCTTAATGTTACAATAAAAATAGTTTGGCAAGAAAGAAAAGAAAGATACCGGGTGGTTTCACTCATAGCAGGAGCATAATGGACCAGGGGAGAATAATAATAATAATGAACAACTATATACCAGAGACATTTTATGGGGGTGGCATGGGGAATGGGATCAAAAATGGGGGGGGTACATGGGACTATGGTGATGGCACACAGGTGAATTCGTGATGAGAAGTCCATAGGGATTACAACTGAGATGGAAAAAGGCACAAAATGATGTAAAAATAAAATATAATAATAAAAAAATAGTTTGGCAAATTGTAGTCCAAAGTAGAGACCACTTTCCCAAACTTCCTTTATAAAATGTGGGTCATATGACTAAGTTTTGGCCAGTGAGATTTAAGCTGCGGTGCTCTGTGGCAGCTTTCAGAAGCATCACGTAAGGGAGGGTGGGTGTGTGCCCTATGTTCCTTCACGCCCCCTTCCTCCATCCTGCTGCGTGGAGGTGGATGTGAAAGCTGAAGCCCATCCTGAACCATGAGCTACATCCCAGGAAATGACACTGCCAAGACCGGAAGTGTTCACGGGACACAATCACAACATCAGGTTATTCCTGAACTTTTAGATGAAAGAGGAAAAGAAGTTTCTAGTTTGCTGAAGTATTTGGCACTTTTTTGGTAGTTATATTAGCAGTATCTACCTGAGGAAGTACAAATAAGCTTATTTGCCCTCTTTATTTAAGCTTATTTGATTTAAATTATATGTAATTATGTTTGTCTTCCTGAAAAAAAAAAAAAGGATTACAAATGAAAGATGAAGCGAGTATTTGTTCTTTGTCTCTATGGTAGATATATTCTGGAAGAAGAAATGACCCATAGGAACAGATGGTTTCATGTTTAAAAGGTCCTTGAAATGATGAGGAGTGTTTCAGCACTGACAGATGATTATTCATTCTGCACACCATCCAAGAAATGTGGGCTGGGAGGTCAGGCCAGCCTGGCCCATGGTTGCTTTGGTTCATCAATTTGTAAATTCATGCAGTCATTTGTTTATTCAAAACACATTAACATAAGCTCCTGGCTGTGCAGACGCTAAAGAACACAAAGCTCTTGATAAACAAAGCTGAAATTCCTGCTTTCAAAATGCTCATGATTTAAAAGGAAACAGAGAACTATATTATAATCACAGTAATGTAAGTGTTCTGTAGGGGCATGTACTAAATGTTGAAGGGACATAAATATGTCAGTGATTTTCTTTTTTATCTTCCTCTGCCAGGAGAATGAATTACGTCAAGGTGGGAACTGGAAGCTTCACAAAGGTAGGCTCTGTCTCTTCCTCAACATTGCAACCTGTCACCAAGCACAGTGCCTGGAACCTAGTAGAAGCTCCACAAATACTAGTTGAATGAATGCATGTAGCATGACCATGAAAGCCAGGAACTGGGGGGCACTTTTAGGATCGAACTTTCCTGTAATACTGAAGGCTCACAAGGGCAGGGGCTTCAACATGATTACAGTTATATCTTCAGCATTGAGAAAGGAATCTGACTTGAATGGATGCTCAGAAATTATCTGTTAAATCTGCATCTGGATGGATAATCCAAGTTCTGGACTCAAGAACAAATTAAAGAGGACAGCAAGGTAAGTTTAGGTGTCAGCACCCCAATTTTCAATTTCATGAAAGTAAAAACCAACTCTGCCTGTAATTCTTTGGCTTTAACATTTCAGAGATCAGTTAACTAGAAAATGATGTTGCCCGTATTTCAACTAGGAAAATGGAGGCATAGATTTGAACATAAAACCATTCAATAGAATTACAAGCTCAAAAGCTACAATTTCTTAATTCCCAAACTGCAGAAACAAATTTCTAGGGTGTCAAAAGAAAGCGAGGTTATGAAACCAAAACTAATTTCCATTACAGATATTTATCTTCAGAGGGTGAAGTGTATCTGGTGCCCTGTATGGTGATCTTTGCCTTCTTGCTACTAATTGTAAGGTGTGAAGCGACCAATGCAGAAAGGTGAAATGTGTGTGTTTTAATGAGGATGAACAAGGAAAGACCTGGGCAAGTTCAACCAATAATCACAAACCCCATGTACCTGGCTTTGTTTACAGCTTTCTTTACCTCTTGTTGAGGACAGATCCACAATGTGGGTTTTTAGACACACCAGGTTATACATCTGCCAAAGAATTAGGGACATCTTATCTGTCATCACTATGTGACCATTCTCAATTCTGTCAGACTTCATTTCTTCTGCATTAAAGCAAGACATTTTGCTTTAAAATGAGGGCCCTCTTTCAGCACTGGGGGAACACAAACTGCCTGGTCACACTTGGCTGCCTCCCTCCACCCTGCCTGCCACCCGCCTGCCAGCTGCACGCGTTCTTACCCTCTGTCTCCCTGACAACAGGTGTGACTTTTGGAGAGTCCATGCCTCATTTAGCTCTAGTAATGGCTTAATTGAGTTGGAAAAATGCAAGGACAGGAGCGTGATAAAAACCAGCTGAGCTGGGTTCCTGTTAGTCATTGGAAAGAGCTATCGGGGAAGAGAGAAGAAAGGATGAATGAGAATGGGGATTGGCAGCATGGGGCATGGGGCAAAGTGGGAGAAAGAGCCAGACAGAGCAAATAGAGATGATAAATGGGAGAAAACAAACAGATTTTAATGTGCTGCGAGCTCCTTGACGACAGGACCTGGCCGTCCTGTTACTGGTGGGGAACACAGAGGGCTCCACAATGATGCTGTGGGAGGGATTGGACACATGTGTACATAGCCCGTGGCACAGTGAACTCTGTCCTAGCAGTTTATGAAGTTGTCTCAAGAAAGGAAATGACAGAAGAAAAAAAGAGGTAGAAAGAGACTTGAAGTGGTAAATTCAAGGTTTGAACATGATGAGAAAATGCTTATCTTTAGGAGAATCACATGATCACAGAACAAAACACTTCCCACTTTAACTACAAGAATTAAGGAACTTAATGCAATCAAAAGCAATAACCTCTGTGAATACTACACTCTCATATTGAGACCAAAGAGAACTTTACTCCAGTTTCTTCATCTGCAAAGTGGATTTCTGACCCCTCTCAAGGATTTTGAAGGCACTACTACCGAAAGTAATGACGAATTGTTCATTGCTATGAAAATAATAGAAGTTGCAAAATTCTTTTAATAGTACCTCTTGTTTGGAAAATGCTTAGTTATATAGAGTTCATCAAGATGCTATTGATGGCCAAAAATTTTTAAAGAAGCAAAAATCATTAAAAAGGAAGAACTTTTGTTTTATTTTGTTTAAATGGTTTTGTAAGTTTTTTAACTGTATATATATATTTACATCACT